TGCCAAATATTTTAAAATTACTGAGTGAATCTATACTCTTTTCAATTTGCTTGATACTTTTAATATGTGGCATATTACTTCTTACGCAGTGTTATGTAATGTTAATTTGAATAGCTAAATGACCAAAGTTTAAAGCTATTCATATGAAAAGCTTGCCCGGTGCTTAAAAGTTAGAATTGAACTTCATGTATTCCCAACATTATAAATTTATTATAATTACTGCGTATTAATTTTTTCTCAATAAAAAAAATTAAATGTTATGGACCTTTAGAAACTATTTTGAATGTGGTGTTAGACTAGAGCTTTATAACGGTGATAATTGTTACTGCTATCAAATGAGTTGTCATTTTAATCGTCCTTATACATTCACTGGTGTGTTACAAAATATATTTATACGTAATTGTGAATATATATTGAGAATCAAACTGCGCTGAATAGGCCGTGATTGTAAAGGCCGGTTTTCTTCCCATAATAACCTCCTGTTAAAAGTTTACGAGTGCAGTGGACAGTGGTCTTACTATCATTATTATCTGACTTTAATTTGCGTGATGTACTAATTATTTTTGCATACACGTCTGTGATGTAGTTTTGGATGACTACATTTTTGGACCATTTCTTTTATATGAGAATTATCTATGAGCCTAGTTTTTTTTTCAAATATTCAAAATGTGGGGGTATATTATTGAGATACAATAATTGTTGTGCATGTGTGCGGTGTGCTTTTAGATGCATAGTATATTATACTGGGTATTAATTGATTTGTGGTGAAATTCAAAATTGTGGATGCAAATAATATGTGTCACTTTTTATTATAAATTGTGTGTGGAGATATTTTGAGTTGGATTTAGGAATAAATTTGTAGTATGGTGTTGTTCATTTTATAGAAATTTATCTTGATGCTCAAAGTGTGAATTTATTAAACTTAACACACTATGTGAGATCCGGCAAAATTGTCGGAAGATTGGGATGAAATCAAAAACACAAAAATGTATTTGGTGAGCTAAACCATTGTATTAAAGAAATACAATGATGGAATAATTTATTGAGAATTATCCATTGTATTATTATGATACAATGATGTCATATATATTCTATCAAGTTTTCCGTTGTACTAAATGAGTATAACGATGACACATTTTATCGAGAATTATCCGTTGTACTAGAGTGATACGCCGATGTTATATTTGAGTGCTATCATTCGTACTATATATAATGGTATGATGATGTTATATACATTATAATGATGATTTTTATATACACTAAATTTTAATATGCTCTTTAAATTTAAAGGTGACTTATGGTAAAATCTTGGTGTGCAAATAAAAGTTGAGCTAGAAATTATCTTCATAAAATAGATATTATTGAATAAAATTGAGTTTTGTAACTTTTGGATGCTTTTACATAAGATGAAATAGAGGAGCATATATACGATTTTCTTAAGTTGTAGAATTAATCTGCTATTATGCAATACTTTAAACTATAATATATTTGAGATTAATGTGATAAATTTTTTTTTTGAAAATGTGTATACATTAAGTGGTGCAAATGATCCAAATGGATATTTAAGATACTTTAAAAAGAATATTGAGATACTTGAGAGGCACCATTAGTTATGGTATATTTGATTGAGATTATTCGTTGAAATATGTTGATCCAATGATGATATGTTTTATTGAGAAATATCCATTGTACTAGAGTGGTACAATGATGTTATATATGAGAAGTATCCATTGTACGATAATGATACAATGATGATATATATTTTATTGAGAATTATCCGTTAGGATATCACATATTCGTGAAATCATCCGATGTACAAAAGTGTCACATCGATGTTATATTTTGTTGAGAGTTATCCGTTGTATTGCCGGGATACAACGACGTAATATGAGTCGACTCACGTGAGATAAAATAGTGGATATCCATTCACCTTTAAAAGTGGTGCAATGATATTTGAGAATGGAATTATTCCATTAATTTTGTGAAGTTAAAAGGAATTAGCTACTCCTTTTGATAGAATCCCTAGGACGTTAATGATAAATTTAAACATCGAGGGAAATGGACTAATGTCACTTTGACAACAAATAGGGATGGGAACCCAACTTGTGTGATTGGAGATCCCATGAAGCAAGTTCAAAGGGTAATAACAAGTCTTCTATTTGTTCTGCTAGCCTTGTAAAATGTCCATTTCTATGGTGTGGAAGGCTAGACTGCAATTCTTTGTGAGGCTGAGCTAAAACTCTTAATGATTGTCATAGCCCTTACGGGTGGTGTGTTAAGTGCGGGACACACTCGATGAGGTCACCTATATGAGTGAGAGGTGGGGCCGCCTCCATGAAGCATTGACAACGCTTCTAGAGCACTCAAGAAAACCAAGCACGCGCACGGCCTAGAGGCGCACAACGGCGTTAACGACGAGAAAGGTGGGGGTGAAAAATGATCCCCTAAGACACTAACTTACCAAAGTAGATTATTGGTTCATAGAAACTATACGTTTCACCAATAAACTCGGTATTTAAAGACTTAGGCGTCTAGGTCTGGTTCAAGTCTACGCGACACCAGATTGAAAAACGTCACCCCATATATGAACCCAGTAAGGAATTGCTGATTTTATACAATTAAAAATTATTCATTTGAAATAAGTGGGGGATTGTTGGAAATTATGAAAATATTTCAAATGAATAAAATCATCCTCTAAATTATTTTTTCTATTCCAACCATACACTTTCCAACTCCCATTGTCCTTTGCTGTTAAAGCTCATTGATTCCTAAAACGTTTTCTTTTATTATTAGCCATTAATGGTATATTGAAGAGCAAATGTTTTGCCTAACGTATGAGCTACTCATTAGCTTTATTCCATTTCTTTATTATCATTAATACAAAGTATATTATATGATACATATATACATATATATACGGATTGAGCATACATGAGAGAAGATAGATATGCCATACTCAAAAAGTTAAGAACGAGTACTTACATTATACTACTTATTTTATGTATGAAGTATATTTACATGCATGTGTGCTGGAGAAATATTAGAGGGATTATTGGAGCAACAAATCGACTCTCAATAAGTTTATACTTTTCAGCAAAGTTCTTCATCACAAACTATCATAACTTGATTACTGGATTCATATACTATTTTCTTCTCGTTAGTTTTGGTACCGGTTTATAACCGAAGGGCTCGTTATATCTTGGGGGAAATTTCCGTACGCCGGAAATAATTCCTTAGGACAGCGTCTGACGCGTCTCGAGCCACTAATATATTTTAGTTCTTTTTAGTGATTATTTTGCAGGTCAATTAGCGGAGTTAGATGGTCAATGGGGTCAAATGAGGAGCAACACGGTCAACACATTGAATTTGGAAGAATAGGGCCAACAATTCCAACATGAAACGCCTACCCCTTTCCGATGTACACCCAAATCTGTCCAACCTCAGACCATCTGATTTCCTGCAAGAAGTGGTCACAATTTCTTAAGATTGTCTCGTCGTAGCCACTGCCGATGAAGAAGAATCTGAGGGTGCATGCAGGTGGACATCAACGGAAATGGATCCGGGTTGGAAGCTAAGAAAGAAGTATGACTCCCAGTTCGATGACAGTTCTCAATCGTTGGAAGATGGCGAGGAGGTGAACTCCTTTCATTTCTTTTTTCCAGATCCATATGCTGACATATTTCGGGACACTTCATAGGGGAAGTATCTTTTGCTCTTCTGGTTGATTTTTTATGATGATGGCATTTCATGTCCTTATCTGATTATCTGTAAAGCTTGGAATGCACCTTATATTACTTTTTGCATGTGTCTCCCACTTTGAATAAGTGTAGGAAGCTATGTTAATTTCTGTAATGGGATATGGAGTATTGTATTCCTTACTTATGATTATGTTCCTTGTATGCTTATTTCATTCCTTATACTGATGATGATGGACCTTGTGTGCTTATTTCATTATTCCTTGTAGTCATGATAATGGTGGTTGTGTGCTTAATCGAGGCACCAATATAATGAGTTTTTACATGTGCTTCCCACTTACAATAAGTGTAGGAGGCAATGTGAATTGGATTCCTTAGTTCTGAATATGTGCCTTGTATGCTTATTTCACTCCCTATACTGATGATGATGGGGCTAGTTTGTGTGCTTGTTTGATTCCTTGTAGTCATGATGATGGTGGTTGTGTGTTAAAACAAGGGGCCAAACTGATGATGCGTTATGTGTCCAAACTGATGATGCGTTATGTGTCTTAAAACTTAGGCTGCATTAATACCTTTAAACATGTGTCACCCACTTTCATTTGAGTCTCGTTCCTATCAAGAGCTCCTGAAGAGAAGTCCTGTGCAGACCAGCCCATCAGAGGGCCTTCCCGGTTTGAACATGTTTCTCATCAAGTTTAGTTTATCAATACCAAATTTCAGTTCAAAATTCGATCGGGAAGACAATCAAATAAATTCTAGAAACATACTACACTTTATATGTGCGCAGAATGCGCATTATTTTTGCGGAATTTATTTAACTGTTTTCCCGATCAAATTTTTAGCTTAAATTTGATATGGATAAACTAGACTTAATGGGGAACATGTTTACAAAATTTCATCAACATATATGAGCTGCCCTCTATATAATTTTATCCATTTAACTACTTGCTTCCGTCATTGAGCCGGCAATGTTAGTTCCTAGTAGGCTAGTAGGCCCAAGCTAGTACGTATATAGTTAGAGTATACTTATATTTTTTCCTGTTGGAATGTATTTTCTTTAGATCTGAAGCATCAGTCCTTTCGTGATACAAAAAATTTGCATATTAATTAGTTTTTTGTGATTTAAAAAATGAGTCAAATCTTTTTTATAAACAAATTTAATTGACACATAAAAGAAAAAAGATTAATAATTTTGTATAATTTAGAAATTTTAACAAAGTTATTTGCATATTCGATCATATTGTTAAGCCAATTGATTTTCAAATTGTTAAATTTGTTTTTTGAAAGAATTTTATGCATGAATAACTATAACATAGGAGTGTTTGACACATATTTCTACTGTTCTATACATTTATTACTGTTTCACATTGAATTTATCTCTAAATGTAGAATATGTGAATAGTGTAAAATTCAAAATGTTGCATTTAAAAAGGTAAGTGGAGGATAGTATTCCATTAAAGAGTCGTGAAGACCGGCAGTGACTACATGAATAGGGTGGAGAAGTTAACAATCAGGTAGCACATCATATTCTTCTGGGACTTGAGGAGGAGGAGGGGTATAGGTGCGGAAACGGTAAATAGAAAGACTGACTGAGAAGCCAAGTGCCAAAGCAGAGAGCAAAAGACGATTATTGTTGCTCATCTCCTTGCTCATCATTCCCGCAAAAAAGCAATATAGAAAGGCCTGCACTGGTACTGTAACAAACACTTCCCAAGCACCCAAGTCATAATAACCTGATAGCCTGCTCCATCCATAGAGTTGCAAGCTCCAACAAGCCAATACAGCAGCGTGTTCGATGTTATATGGTAATATATAGCTTACTGCCATAGCTAAGCCCACAAAGAAAAGCTCCAATGTGCACTTAAAATCCCTTCCCATCAATCTATATTTTTCCTCCACGGGATCACGAACGAAAAATCCGAGGGTCAGTGTACACTTCCAGATTTCTATATTGGCTCCAAAGAATAATAGCACGTCCAATGTCCATCCAAATATATCCATGATCATCATGAATTCGAGGACACAGATGACGAGAAGTAAACCCTGCCATAGCCTTACCTCAAACTCTGAAAGAATCACAGATACATAAAAATGCTTGTCATGGTTTGCATAATCAGTGGCGTAGCCAGTAGCATATATTGCCTAGTTGGGCTGACAAACAAATTTTTTCAAATAATTGTTTCATAATCTTTTAACATTTAAAATCAAAAGTTTTCCAAATTTGGGGTGGGCTGAGCTAGTATATATACTATCGTATATACCATGCTACACCCCCGTACATAACAGCTCCACTATAATATGTGGCACATTAAGCACATTAAGATTATATTGTTTTAAATGCACTCGTTTAAGAATAAACACATTCAATATATTTTCTTAATAAAAGTATCTTGTGTTCAAAGTTCAAACCATATATCCGTAGCACTTTAATTGATAAACAGGAGTAAAAACTGGGTGTTAAAAATAATTTACTACCCATATTAAATGGTTCTATTTGACGTGCATAGAAGAAGCACTGGGCCCATGAAGGGTTCTAGACAGCTGTGATTACTTTCACTAACGGTCGCGTGTGAAACTAATTTGTGTGTGTGTACATGAAGAAAAACAGACCTGAGAAAAGCATGTCATATATGATAGAAAAGCATAAACGAACATATTTACTTAATTACCTCTTCTTTCCATGCCAAAGGATAAGACGGTGAGCAGTTTTGCGCAGCTTTCGATTAGTTTGAAGCAACAGATCGAAACTGCTGGCTAGATCGGTAACAAATCGATAAATCGGTTGTTCAGGACCTGATCAAAATACCAGCTTAGCTAGGTTCATTGCATTCTTATATGTAGCACGGAAACGAGAAACAGGAGACGCAGAAAACCACGTTTTCAAAAAAAAGTAAGACACGAAATGTGGAGGAAACGCGTAAATGTAAAAAAATACTATCGTATAGGATTGTTTTAATACTACCTCCGTAACACAAAGATCTTCCCATTTTGACTTTTCACGGTCTTCTAAGTTGAACTTTGACTCTAAATATCTACATATCTATATTTATAAAATTCATAATAAATTAACATTCAAATAATATGTTTTACAATGAGGTATATAAAATAAATTTTTAATCATAACATAATGTGAGTTTTGAATAATTAATGGTCAAAGTTTATAAAGTTTGACCCAAATGAGTCAAACTGGGAAGATTCTAGGGTTACGGAGGTAGTAAATAATTTCCTACATCCTAAGCTATTACCTTCATTCTTAAATAAGTGCAATGGTCAACTTTTCATGTGTACCGATGCACAACTTTGACTATTAGTGTATTTAATTTTCGATTTTTTAAAAATTTAAAAATTCAGATTTTGAAAGTTTAAAAGAGACAAACTTGACAATATTTTTATACAAAAATATTAATACATTAATATCAATGAAAGTAAAAGTAAAACATGTGAATAATGTAAAATTTAACCTAATAAATAAAGCATTTGTTTAAGAACCTATAAAGTATATAAAAGCATAAATTTCTTAACATTAGTGCCAATCAAAATTGAATAATAATGAATAAAAAACACAAAGTCACTAAGTCACTAACAATTATGCCATCCACTCTTGTCAGGCTGTACGCATTATAGAAGCCCCTCATCATCTATCCCCTGTTTGCTTTTTTGGGCATATCTATCCCCTGTTCTCTTGAATTAATCAAGAAAATAATTCAGACTCCAAAGCAAATATATATAAAGCAGAAGGTTTTGAGTATTGTAGCGGTACTGTAGTTACTTTTTGGGTGGGTTTATTTCCAAAAAGGGAATGAAACATATATTTTGATACGTCCCAAAAGGGAAAGTGTGTAAAGTAAATTGATACGGCCGGAGGGAGTACAGAGTATCACACTATCACACACACTTAGTAAATTCGAAACATACACATAAGAGAGTACAAAACATTAAAGGCTAAACACAATTACAGAAAACTTAAACAGTTCAAAGAGTAGATGAGATGAGCATGATGATTGACGGCTCACCGGAACGAGTGTAGAAATTAGAAGAGAAGATGCCAAGAAAGAAAAGGAACTGCGATCGGCGGAAGAAATAGGGCTTCTATGCGGGATGGATGAGATGACTAAATTTTTTTGTTGCCTGAAGATCTCTTTAATTGGGCTATAATTTGTTGTTCTGATTTGGTCAAATTTGATCTGATTTTTTTGTATTTTTATAATTATTCAAGTCTGGCTTGCTCTGATCTGGTCTGATGTAGGACAGATTACGGACCAAGTAAAAACATCTTCTTCTCTCAAATACAAATTATATTGTTTTTAGAAACTAAAAATTGTTATAGGTAGGATTAAAAGCGACTACCTACATTTTAAATCCTCCCAAATAGGACTATATTGATTTATGCTATAAATACCTCTAAGAGCATTGATTCATAAAATGTTTTAAGAGTTTTAAGAGTTTTTCCTAAAATATTACTAATACAAAAGTCATGAATAAAAATGTGACTTGGTAACTTATAGTTACTATATATAATTGTGTTCAAAGTTTATATCGTGGTCATTATATCATAGTAACTTTTAACATAATTATACTAACTAAATTTACCAAGTCGCATTTTTGTCTGTAACTCTTAAAAGGGTAATAAGAGTGGAATTTTATCTTGTTTTAATTAATAATAAAATCTTAAAAGAAAATGTAAAAAAATATTAAGAATATCGTAAAAACATAATAAAAAATAATAAAATATTTTTTAAATAAATAATTTATACTACCTCCGTCCCAAATTGAGTTGCAACTTTGACTTTTTTTGGTCAAACAGATTCGTTTTGTTCGCTTAATTTGGATGTCAATTTGTAATTATATTCCAATTTGGAGTTTACAACTTTGAAGAGATTACAATGTAGTTTATGAATATGTAAATTTTAATTATTAAAAATTGAATTAATTATCAATAAGAAGGTTTGACTTTTATTATTGGTTGACCAAAAAATGTTGACTTTGCAAAACAATTTGGGACGGAGGGAGTATTTTTTAAAATTAATAAAAAGTAGTAAATGGAGGAGCATTTTTGTATCTTCATATAGGGTTGTGGTGCAAAAACAAAGATTTTAAAAAACGGGATGTGAAATCCAATTTGGACAACAAAAGTGTGTGCAAACTCAAATTACCCCTTATTATTTTTATACAATTTAGGCTATGTTTGGCACTTCAAGCTGGAGCTGGAGACTGAAGTCTGAAATGAAGACTGAAGTCTGATCGAATTAAAAACTATTGTCTGGAACTGAATTATAAAGTACTGAATCTGAACTGTTAGCTGAATGAAGTGTACTTGTTTGGCGGAACGAGCTGAAAGGGTGACTCGAAAATGTTAAATTACATTTAAGGGCATAAAATATATTATTCAAAAATATTTAATTATTATAATAATTACTAATTTTTCACCTAAATAGATGCTTTATTTGTCCTGTTTATTTCGTCCTAACCCTTGGTGAACAAGGTAAGAACAGTACGAACAGTGCTTTGTTTTTTAGTTTGCAATTTCATTTTTTTAAAAGACAACCTGCGCGTTGTATCTCCCGCACAGTTTGAGGGGGTGTAATAGGCTAATATAATTAGGAATCTACCTAATAGATATTTAGGAATCTGCCTAATATCTGTTTAGGAATACTTTGTATTTTGGCAACTCTTCTATTATAAATATATCTGTCAGGACTCCTATTGGAGTACCTCTTTCCCATTATTTCACAGGTTATGCCTCCATAAATCTCACCCCACCAAGTTCCTAATTAAGAATGGAGGATACACACAACACATGCACCGATTAGTTTTCAATTATTGACCGAGAAAAAGTTATATTTTCGGATTTTCCTATAGTTGAGGTGCATCCAACAAAAGACATCGGAAGAATAACTGAATATATATTACTCTTGGATAAGATCTGCACCGGATGGTTAGGGTAGAAAATAATTCCATAGAAAAAGATATAATAGGCGAAGAATCACAGAGAAGAAGAATTAAAGAAATCGAGCAAAGAATTATGCAGGGAAGAACCCGGAAATGATGTTGCGTGCAGGGATATTTTAGGAATATAAGTCGATTATACACTCGGCTGAATAGAGACGTTTCGTTTCATAACGTTCCCATTCAGACCTTTATTTTGAGCTTAAGCTCAGTGTAGCCTGCCATCCAAACACACGTACTTCAATAATTATTGGCTGGATTTTCAAAATTCAAGCTCATTATTAGCTGAAATGATGTGTCAAACATAGCCTTAGAAATCCTTACTACGTTACTTACATATTCGATAGTGTTATTAAGCCAATTGATTTCCGAATTGTTTTTTTTGCAGCTTCCTAACCTATAATAGTATTTGTTTTATGTTAACGCATACATCTTTGAACTGTGATGGGATTCGAACTTGTGATCTACTCATTGGAAATGTCAAAGTGATGTCAATAGAACGCAACATATTTGGCTGTTAAATTTGTTTTTAGAAGGGACATTGTGCATGTATAACTAGGGTTGTTAACGAACTGAGCTTTTATCGAACTATTCGAGTTCGAGCTTGGTTTCAAACCTAACGAGCCGAGCTTAATGAGCTTAATGAGCTTTCGAACTCGGACCCGAGCTGAGTTTTAAGTTCGAAATATTAATTGAGCCGAGCTCGAACGTAGTAGTAATAGGCTCGGTTCAAACTCGAGCCTTTCGAACTCCCTGAAATTATAAATATAATTTATACTCCGTATATAATAAAAATTAAAAAATAATTAGTATGATTTTATGAATTTAAATATGTTTATTAACGAACCGAATACTTGTCGAATCATTCGAGCACGAGCCTAATAACGAGCATCACCTAAAATTTTAAATTCAACCATAGTTATCGAGCTTATCGAGCGCTCGGTTCGAACATCAAACGCCTATCGAGCCGAACACAAGCCTCATTTGTCAAGCTCGTCGAGCTTCGAGCTCGAACCCGAACACCATTAATTCTTTATCGGGCCGAACTCAAGCTTTAGGTGTTCGGGCTCGGCTCGTTAACACCCCTATGTATAACACAGAAGAGTTTGACACATTTTTTAAATCACATGGGGTTAGCGGCAGATCCTGTTATGAGAGGTGGAGTATGCTAGAAAGTAAAAAAGTTGTTACTTCATACTATGTTTCGCTTGAATAGTTATCAAACTCAGTTTTTTTGAATTATTCGAATTCAAGCTTGATTTCGATGTAAAAAAGTTGTCATTTATAAATGTTATATACCGTTAACTAGATTTTGAATTCAAATAGTTGTTCGAGCCCAGATGGAGCACAGTGATGTTGAGACCATTAACACATTAAATTTTTACATATGAAATTATTGTTTAATATTCAACTGTGTATGAAATGTGATGTATTATTAGAGCTTACAAGGACTAAAATTATGAATTATATTTTAAATTGATCTTTACGATCTTCACTATATTGATAATATCATTATTCATTCTAATTAATAAACACCATTGTACAAAACTAATAAATCATTATAATAACTATATTGTACAATAAACATTTCAATCCAATTGTGAATTTGAAAATTGAATTTAAATATTTAATCATTTCAATCAAAGGGTCAAATAGGCTGGTGTACCTATCCGTAATTCTCAATCAATCAGGCTTGAGGTACACATTTTTGTACACACACTTACACACTCGTGTTTGTGAAGTGTTTTGTTTTGTCTGTATACAGACACAACTTATTTCACAGACACTTCAAATGCGTTGTGGTTGTATACAGATAACAAAAAACACTTCACAGACATGAGTGTGTAAGTGTGTGTACAAAAAATGTCTAACAATAGTTTTTTCGATTCTCAATTGGCTCTTTCAATTGAAAATACAGTTGATAGGTCACATTTATTGAAACGAGATCTTGTTTTAACCATGAGTTTGTAATTACAAAACATCTTTGTTTAGTTTTAATTTCTTTTTTGAAATTTTATCTTATGAAAATATATAATGAGTTAAATTTTAATATCATTGACCGAGAAAAACCTATAGGAGAGAGCGAGCATATATTTGACTACTTTACATTTTTATTGATGTATTCCGTATTATTTAAGAATGAAAAGTGCAACTTAATTCTAAGTTCATGAAGTAAATAAAGTAAAAAAAAATGATGTACCCAAAAAAGTAATGTACATAAAAAAGTGAGTTACAAAAATGATGTCATGAATGAAGTAGTACATCTTCCCTCCCAAATTAATTTGCAAATTTGATATTTTGGGGTCAAGAGTCACATTTTATTCACTTAAACAGAACCTATTAGATTAGGTCACTAAAGTTTAGTCCCAATTAAAAACATCCTCTTGGTTTCTACAAAAAAACATCCTCTTGGTGATGTGATTTTTGTTTTTCTGCGGACCAAGATGTGGTTCCGAAACTCATTTGTTTATTTAAAATAAAGCAGCTCATAAATTGAAATATATTGATCATAGAAATATACTCCGTATTTAAAGCAATTTGCACTTGAATAAACCCTAGCTAAGCTTGGCTTGTGATCAATATCGATATATCCAGCCCCGCCTCCAACGAATAGAAAGCTGTGCAACCGCTTGTCCATGTTCTCAGTCACCATGGAAAGAATAGGTAATTGCGTTTGCTCTGTTCTGGTTGATACGGATTACGCATATTTCATCAGATTTTCGTTTCCGTATCAATTTTTGTCATCTCGGTTAACCTTGCAGCAAATTACACCTCAATTTTCTGTTCCATAGCATTCAATTTGATTTCTGCATACACATTCAACCAAATTAAACATGGATATAAATTTGCAGAGTGGTCGGAAATTGTATGGACTTGTTTGCTCCTTCTGGCATCCGTGGTCGAGACTATTACGGTGATGGCAATCTTCGGGTGGAATTTGGCGGTGCTGTTTTTCTTTGTAGGGGGCGTTGGAGTGTTCAAGTGTTCGATGATAGTTCTGAATCTGTATGACAGGCCGGGCGAAGAATACAAGTGGGCAGGGAGGGGAACCAAATGCGCAGAGCAGATTTTCTCCGAGGCTTTTGCCATTGCACTGCGCTGCATTTTACCACTTAACATCGGATACGCAGTGATATTGGCGTGTTGGAGTCTGTACTACTACGGATGGCGTCGCGTGTACCTGCGCCATTATGACATCGGAGCTTGGGAAGTGTTCGTGTCCGTTCCAATGCAGCTTTTTATGTATTCATGTTTGTCACCTTATGATACTGGTAATGATCATGATAACGGGTTGTCTGGTTTAACGGCTCTATACGGCTTAGTGCTTCCCGTGCTGCGATACTACTCCTATGCTGCCCCTGAACTGCTGCCCTCTCTTTCCAAAGAGTTACTAGTTTGATATCATGTGCGGAGCTTGGTAGATAGATGGTTATTTGTTTATTTATTTGTCCATCCAATTTATGTGCTTGTATGCTAAGAACAAGAAGACTACCTGCTTTTTGTCTTCCATTATATTCTGAATCTCTATTACTCGTATTGTATTATTGTATAGTACCAAGTCTACGTTCATGTTCACTTTTCCTCATCCTTGGTTTAAATGCACCTCGTAGTTAGTCCAAGATCACAATAGACTGAACTTAAATAGACTAGACTAGACATAAATAGATCAGACTAGAGTCGGGTCCTGGCGGTACCGGCTTGCAAAAGTGGAGCTTAGTATGTTTCCGTTCCGGTCTAGCCCAAACTGTACGGGGCCCGAGACTGAACCCACCCGGTCGTGTCGTCGGAGCCCAATCCATCCCTAGATCATACTTGGGATGGATTGGGCCGGGCTCCGGGCCGGATCAGACACGGCTCTGGGTTCGGAAAAGTGAGTCCCAGTACTAGCCCGGTTATATATCAGGACCGGTCGAGGTCGGGGTGACCCAACGGGCTTCAAGTCGGGTCCGGGTCTGTCCGGGTCTGTCCGGGCCTAATATTTTTTTTCACGAGTGCTACAAAAAATTTGAATGCATATATATTGAAATATGAAGTACAATTGCAAGTATAGTTCATAGCCTATTTTAAATAAGCAAGAAAAGTCACTTCGGGTTCCCTTGGATTTTAATTTTGCATACGCCACATGGTGATTTGCCTTCAAATGCCTTTCCGTGCCTCTGTATCCATGCGAAATTCCCAAGGAATTTTTTTCGTTACAATGGTAGCAAGTTTCCCACCACATCTTGCTAGTCATTTCCTTCCTGTTTGTGTAATTATTTTTCATAAAGGGAGATTGACTTTTCTTATTTACCCACCCCCAACCCTCCTCCCCAACAGCTCTATAGCCGTTGCCAGCGGCTAGGAGCCACCCCCAGCCCAGAATGATTTTAAAAGCTAAAAAACATTAAATTTTGGCCGTTAGGCCCGGACCCAGCCGGGCCGGGCCGATTCTTTCTTTTTTTAATCCCAGAGCCCGCCCGTTTATAAAACCGGTTCGGTCCTCTAGCTTGGTCCCGTTGACCGTGTCAGGTTGGGTCGGTCCTCTAGCAGACCCGAACCAGTCCACCCCTAGATCATATTAACCCTGACTATGACAATGGTAAAATGTACATAGACCATAAATCTACCAGACCAATTCAGACAAGATAAAACCAAACTTAAATAGATCAAACCAGATTATAAAATTTTAGTGTAAATAAAAACATATTTACTAGCAAAGACAATGTAATGTATTTATGAACATATGAATATAGTGCATTTTATATTAAGTATGTGTTTGGAGCAAAGAGATGTAGTTCGGAGCTATTCTCTGAATCAAGAATTATGTTATTCTCTTAATTGAATTAGAAACTATAGTTTCGAACTCAAGTATGAAGTACTGAATCTAAACTATTTGCCGAATAGAATAGATTTGTTTAGCAAAAAAAAGTTAAAAGAATGTCTTGGAATTGTAAAATCACATTGAAGGGTTATTTGATGTTGCATAGGTATCACAATCCTAACATTGCACTTGAATTTGTACAATTATGCAGTTTTTTTTTTTTGCTAAGCTAATTTTTATTAGCATGCGGATCCTATTGAATAATTTTTTTAAAAAAAATATAAATTAATAAATAAAATGTAATCAAAATAGAATATATGAATAGTATAAAATTCAAAATGTTACAATTAAAAAAGTTGAGGGTAGTATTCTATAAAAGAGTTGTTGAAGACTGACAGTGACGATGTGAATAAGGTGGAGAAGTTAACAGTCAGGTAGCATATCATATTCTTCAAGAATTTGAGGAGGAGGGGTATAGGAGCAGAAACGATAAATAAAAAGACTGCCCCAGAAGTCAGAAGGCAACTGACATTGCAGAGAGCAAATTAAAAGATTATCATTGTTGCTCATCTCCTTGTTCATCATCAAGACCGGCCCTGGGGCATGGGCATGAGGGGCATGCGCCCAGGGCCCTTTGTTTCAGTAGGGCTCATAAATTTCTCAAATATGTGTGTCTGTGTTTGTGTACATCACTATTTTGATTATATGTACATTCTAAATCTATAAAAGGTAAAATATAAAATCAAACTTATATTTTTTAGATACTTCTAATTAGTTATTCAGCATCTACACGATACAAGTCTATAATTTTGAAACATCCCCGTTAGAATTCATTGAGAACATATTTCACCATTTCTTTTGAATCATTATATTATGGATTATTGCATTAATTTTATTCTTTTAGTGTACATGTCTTATGTATATCCAGAACTTATTGATATATTTCACAAATTTCCTCCGATTCTCTAATTTAGTGAAAGATTGAACTTTAATGTCCATAATTTAGAAACGTAGAATTTGTTTTTTTCTAGTGAAAATGTGATCTAAAATATGAAAAAGTTACTCCTAATTATACAAGATATAATTTCACAGCTTTCCTTAATTTAAAATTTTTATTGCACCTAATAGTTGCACTACTTGTTTCACTTGGCTCTTAGGTACATTGTATCATCAAATGTCACTTATCAAATACCCTATATATATTTTCTAACCATGTGTTTTGTTAGTTTTTTTTATGTGTTATACTACTTTTGGACGGTAAAATTGTATAATTTTAAATTATAGATTATTATAGCAAAAAGAACATTATTAACGTTCCCCCGCTATCCTTAAGGCCCAGTCTATTTGTATTGTCTCGGGCCCATAAATGTCAAGATCAGGCCTGTTCATCATTCCCGCAAAAAAAAGCAATACACCAATTCAATTTGTTTCGTGTTTTATATATATATATATATATATATATATATATATATATATATATAGGAGAATTCTATGGTACATCCCTAAATATAGCATGTACCGGTGCACTCACTTTTTAAACCAATCAGATGATAGCACAATGCCAGTTCACGTTTTAATCATGGAATTTAACATTTTGCAGCTAAGTCCTTTCAAAATGAGAAAGTCGAGAAAACTAAACCACTTAACGAAGCCACTTTCCGTCACTTCAACTCTTTCCGTCGATAGCAGTTTCCAAATATGTACCGGCGAATAGAAGGGAACACCTGAGATTTCTTCTCTCACTTCTACAACAGAAATCATATGTGCTTCGTGCTTTACCCCGGATCTAAAATAATGAGTCAAATTCCTCTCCTAGCTCTCCCTTTTTCAACTAAAGTAAATGGATTCTTTCGGCTGAAACGTGGGAAATCCCAGAGGAAGAGGGGTTGAGGTCATCGCCGACCTAAACCACGCTTTGACCAACTAATATCTCCTTCCCCGCGGAAACACATTCGAAATCAGAAAAGCAACAACACTCTTCAAATCCGTATACCTTCTCTAATGTGGTTCTGGTATTCTTCATCTTCATTCATGTTATCGTCAATCATTAAACATCATTAATAGGCATACTCTTGAAAACACTACTGGTGGGAAATGTGTCATTTTACTAGAACTATTTCAAGAATCCTTGGATTTAGTTTAGATTCCGAATTCTCTGTTTTTGTCATGTTGTCTAACCGAATTCGCATTCCGGTGAAGTCATGCATATGCGTAAATGGGTTCTGGAATTTTACTTGTTTTCGTATGACTTTTTAGTACTATTGGGTTATCTAGGGTTTCTGCTAACTTGTCTTCACTTATGGGACTTCCTAGGCACTGGAGTTCACATTTACGGAATACCATTGTATAGAAGAAAGCCAATTCCTTTGGCGGCTAAGCCCCCCTGATTTAAAGCCAGGCGAGTAAGATCAAAAAGGGAGATATTCAGGGATTATGGGTAAGCCATGAAAGCTTGCAACTCATTTATCACTAAAACAGTTTTTTCTATGATGGTTTGTTGATGAAAAGTTAATGATTTATTAGTTAATAATATATCAAATGCAGTGATTATGTAAAGCGGATAAATCTTTATAAACAGAGGATCTGGATTTGTAAATTAACTGGGAAAAGAAACTTGACATATGATGAGGCTTTGGTTTTAGAAAAGGATGCTAATGAAGAGGCCCAACGGTTCCTGAAAGAATTGATGGCACCAGTACTTCGTGATGTTCAATTTAGTAATCCTGAACTTCTTAGACTTCAATTAGATTTTCTTTGTTGTATCACTAATGCATTTAATTTTTTAATGGTACCTGTACAATGTCCTCTACTTATTAGAAAGTCAAAATCATTTCATCTATAAAGCACAGGACCAAACCTTGGGTTGTGTATCCACATTTTCTTAGCTTCTCTTTGTAGTGGAAAGGAAAAATCTCAGTCTTGTTATGTTGCTATATTTTTCAAAGCTATGAATCGAGGCTCTTGATATAATGATATATGGCTTTTCTTGTACTTGTTAGATTCTTGACGCAACCATTACGCATACTGGATTCCAAATGTGTTAATGGATCTTGACAAGGTTTATTTTACCCCAACATATAAATCAAAGTGAAGTTTTTTTGTTACCTTATCAACAACTTATATTGTAGTTTTTCTAATTTTTTGTTCACGATATATTGTAAATGCGCACATCTAATCTCTGCACGATAAATCTTGTGTCACTTCCCACTACCTTTTACAATAAAGACGAGGAGAAACCAATCCATAAGCATCAGTTCACTTGTTGTGGATGGTCTTGTTGAATTGTATGGTGCTCCGTATTATTGGCTCAGTTTGTAATGTTTAAATCAGGTTTTGGTTGCTGTAATAGATCATTCTGATTGTAATGTTCAACTCTTCTAATGATCTCACAATCTGTTACTTCTGCAGGTATGCTTAATTTAAAAGAGCTTGCCAATATGATTGCTAAAAAGCTCCAAGACTGCTGGTCAGAGGGTAGTGAATTGTATGGCAGGTGATGCTTCTGATGGTCAAACTAATGAAAATTCTAGAAAATGCAAAGCTAAGATGATGCAGGTTGCAAGCAACCAAATTGGTAAGAAGAAAGAAGAGAAAAGACGGGCTTCTCAGGATTGTCCCCTAATCGTGGAAACTATTTTCCCACCTTGAGTAGTGGAGAATTAAAAACCAAGTAAATTTAAAAAGGAATCTGAAAATGCATTGGCAGGTGAAACCATAAAAGGCAATCCTATGGTCGAAAGTGTGGCATTCACCGAGACTGTCATTTCAAATCAGCAGACGCAGTTTGAGAAAGTAGCTACAGAAGTTGGTGATGATGAAATCTATAAGCCTAAAATTCTTGTGGAAAACTGCCAATAACATAGAGTAATGTATTATTCACTTACACAATGTAGGATATTTTGTTGTTACTTCTGCAAAGAGTGAAGAGAAGAGGCCAAAGAAGATTAGGTTTGCAATGAAGAACAACTTGGTTTGGAAAGCCCATTGGGTTTGAGCATTTTATTGTATTTGGCGATGAATTTGAGATGTAATTGTTTTTCCCTTGATTTTTTCATTGTACTTGACGAAAGTAGTAAGGTTTGGAGTTTGAACTTCCTTTGTTTTTTGCATTTGAACTGCATTTATCTATCCCAGTGAAACTATTTTGATAAAAAAAATGAACAATGGAATTAGGTTCTGGTTTATGCTAATCCTATCCCTCTCATTCTGTAAACTATATTGAGCCTCCACCTGTTATTGCCTAGTATTGTTCACTTTAAACCTGATTTCAAGAATAACATCCTCTTAAAATTGGAGATGAGTAAACATGTAAAATTTGCTTTTAACTGCTACATATATATTTTGCCCACAGGATGTGGCTGGAAATGTGACTATCATATACCACTTGGGATTATGGTAGTAGTTTATATTCCATCCTCTCAAATGCCAATGTTTTTTTTTCAGAAATACTTCGTAATAAATTCACAAAATATTAGTAGTTCAAACAAACCATATTGCATTGAAACAGATCATATCACCTATAAATTATACTCCGTAATATCTTACCCATTTTTTAAATACAACCCATATTTCCATAATATCAAACTATAAAACCTGAAGAATTAAAATGGTACAAAATCCAGGTTGACTGCTGCAGAATTCAAAAGACACTGGCCAATGGCACCAGCAACGGTACAGGATATTGCAGGACCGTGAAATGACAATTACCTCCTTCCAGTCATTTTCGAAGGAACAACAAGTCCTCTTTTCTCCAGGCTCTTGAACCTATCTTTTGCAAGAGTGCTACATCCCTTTAATTGCCAAAGGGAACCAGTGATTTCTTCGGATAATAGGACTTGAACAAGAGCAGGCTGAAATTTGCGCTTCCCAAGGCGTGGAGGAAAACACTTCAGTCTTTCTTGTTTAGAAACAACACGTCGGATATGCATTTTCTGTTTCTCTTCATCCTCTTTGGCTATTTCTTGAATTATATCTGGCAAGCTGTCAATTTCTTTTGAAAGGTTCTTCAACTTTTTTACTTCTGCTTCAACTTTCAACTGCTCTTTACGTCTAGCCTTCTTGTTCCTTTCAACTCTAGTCACAACTTTGGTTTTTTGTACCCTCTTCTCTGGTTCCATATTTCCATCTTCGACCATATTATCAACGTCATCATCACTTGCATCATCCACATCAAGGAAATACATATTATCTTCATCAACTGTATCCAGGAATAACACTTAAAGTAGAGACTCCTTTCTAATCTAAAACATTACATTTTAAAGGAAGTTGAAAAGTGTTCAGGATTGAAGGAGTTATTATTGGTTTATGCTTGTAGTTTATCATTAAGAGCAAGCTGCAAAACAAGATAGGCTTACCGACTATTAATATATTTCATCATTAAGAGGAAGGTGGAACCAAGCATCTCTATAAACAAAATGAAGATGTCCCTGGTAAAAAGCACAAGTGTTTCTTCACCCATAAAAGCCACAACCAAGACCAAAAACCCTTCTGGTTTGTGAACTGCAGTGAAGGCATACCCACTACTGCATCTGAGCACAAAATTGCTTTTCCAAACATGTGGAATTGCTTTGTACAAATAAAACTGTGTAAAAATATCTAGAAGGGAGAAAAATGAACAACATATCCCAAGTAGACTTATCCCCCGGAATGTGGAATTGTTTCAATGAAACGAAAGTATGGCAATATCATAGAGCAATTAAAGATGAATATAAGTTTCATACAAATGAAATCATTAAACTATGAATTTGAAAGTGTTCTACAGGCACAAATTAGAAAACCTCCTAGAAATTCAAAGTTCGTACTAAAATTAAAACATGAAATCAATTCAGAACCTAAAGTATTTAAGCTCCTAAAGTGCGTCGTGGTAAGAATTAGAGACCAACAACCCTATTCTTCCTCTTAAGTTCAATCCAATGTTGAATTGCCTTATCTTCAACACTTGCTTTCAATTCATTGAAAGGATGGCTAATCAATTCAATAGCAATCCGCATCCTTGCATCAGGTCCAACCTATTTAAGAAATAACCACATTAATGATACATACATACAAACACTCTCACGTACACGTCAATCATATCTTATTTTTTTTCATTAAAAATAAAAAGGATAATTTAAAGTGCTTACAAACACTTTTTCATAATCATCACCCAATGCGCATTCAATCATCCATTGAGCCACCCACACTCCACAGTCGTTACTAGTATAAAATAAACAACAAAATTCATATTGTTAGTTGAATATGTTCAGGTTGATGAATTAGTAAATAAATATAATTAACACAACGTAATAATACATACGATCCCAATTTTTGATGAGGGACTCCTGTTGGCACAACCAAAGTGAATGCCGATACATCATACTTGTATTTCATAAGTTTATCATCAACTAAAATGTCCACAAACACATCCTCCAGAAAAAGAGCCTATAACATAAAAACGTGATATGTCAAATATGAGAAAATGAATAATTTTGTGAGAGCAAAACTCAATTACATACCACTTTCTTAACAGAGCGACATCTAAATTCATTTCTTTCTTTCGAGGGGGATGAGTCCAACAATATCAATTTTCTTTTGTCAACATCAACAATCAACAAATACCAATGAACATTTAGGTCATTCATTGGAATAACTATCTGCAGCCATTAAAGAGTAAAGATTTATGTAATTGAAGATAATATGTAGATAAAAACTATAAAATTTACAACCTAATCTTATACAAAATTACCTTAGTTAAGTAGTCAACTTTGCCCATGAATTCACTTTGATAAAAGCCTTTCACAGCTTTATAATCCCAGTCCAATGCAAATTGCTGCAACGAACCACCCATAAAACCAAATTGTAGATCCGGTTTCATTTATAACTAGATTATAAAGATAAGATATAACTATACATACAGAAAACATGGTTGGCATGAACCACATAGTTGAATACGGTGCAAAGTGAGTGTCCTCATATTTGAGTCTACAAGCCAGTAGATTCAGAACCTGCGTATAGAGTTAAAAAAAATCAATACAAAAAAAGAGGCCTTGAGCTCCACATAATATACCCTAGTAACATAGATATATCTACATAATATACACTGCATATGTCATTATTTCTCAAAAAAGTGTGGCATGCAATAGCACAACGAGCAACACATATGGGCATTATTTAGATGGTGCTGGACAATAAATATATATGATAGACACAGTATGCTATGCGAATGACACATCCATTATGCAGTAACTAAAATATAATCATGTGGATTCATGTAATACAATAAAACACAAACGTCATCTTTTTTTTTAACAAAGCAAATATTTAGCAACTTATAAATATTTACCAGTAAATATTTAGCAACTTCTATATATTTACCAAAACCTTTGACATATAATATACACAGTAACATAGGTAAACAGCTCCTCATAATATACACAGTAACTTAGATATGCATAGCTTTCATATATAAATAATATTATCAAAGATCTTCACACATATCACTTAAAGACCAAAAATGACATATATGCCTAACCTCCTGATCTACACAGCCCTTTGGCATGAGGGTCTTCAGCGTTTTCCTATCTCCACTTCCATACTTCGTCCTAATTAAAATCTCACTCCTACAACAATACAAAAGTTCACATTAAAATGCTTTTATATGATCTATTAATATAAAGCAAACGGCATACCCAAGTTCGATGTCATCATCACTCCTAAATATATATGATATTAAAGCAGCTTCTGTTTCTTCCAGGTTCATATCAGCTGGGAGATTAAAGGATATAGGTACCCACTACAAGAAAATGAATGAATAGGTTAGTAGAAAAAAATCACAACGAAAAGCTAGAATACTAGGTAGTTAGAGTGAAATACTGTGACATACTTTTGGTATAACAAAATCAGTACAAGTTTTGTCATTAAGAAGCCCAGGCAACGGTTTAAAGTTGACATAGAAATCACGATTGCCGCATTCTTCAAATTTAGAGAATAAATTCTTTTTCATATGAGTCTCGTGACGGCTTCTTTCATGTCTTTCTGCTTTGTATGGGCTTGTTTGAAGGGCAGTTCCAGGCATGTTTTGAAAGGAATGAAGAATTGGAGGTGTTGGATTGATGGTCAAAACAGGAAGACCAGAAGGACTTAGGTCAAAACAAAGGTTGGGATTATGAGTGATGATAGTGTTGACCATGTTACTAAATGCAGCTTTAATGTCATTGAACCCATTGATAGACTCAATTGGTGTTGATGCTTGCGAGGGGCTATCCACTTCATCTTCCTCAAGTTTCTTGATAGGGCAGAGATCCTTGATCGGGCTTTTGGGACAACTTCAGTTTAATTAAAATCACAAAACAACAAGGTAAAATAAATTATAATCAGTGAATAAGCATTTTATTATGTAGAAACTAGCAACTGAAATCAATTATGAATTTTACCTAGAAGAAATATCTATTATTTCTATAAGCGAATGTAGTTTCTGGCTACACATGCCTTGTTGACCTCTTCTACGGATGAAATCACCATTGCTTGAGTGGTTCCCATTTCTAGAAATTGAGATGGGAACATTTGCCTTGCTGCTTCGTTGTTTTGTTTTCAGGCTGCATAGTTTCGTCCCCTTACGATGTCCTGCCATGGCTGAAGATTGATGGTTTGTCCATGCTGTATTTCAGATATATAATCGGTCGAGAAGATGGTAAATGGAATCCTAAAATGTCGGAACGTGCATACTGGGGGTGTCGAGTGCCAACTGCCAAGTTCACTTGTGACGTGCTAAGCTAATTACCTCCACCAAACCTAATTAAGCTGAGCACGTAATGACTCCCTACATAGTCTTCTACCCAGTAATTTAAAAAATTAAATGACACTCTGAAATCCGTATTATTCATAACAAAAAACAAAAGCTAATTACCACTAGTCTCTCTCATTAACTATTACAATGATTATAAATTCTTTTTTTTATGTAATTTAACTTTAGTTTACAAATAAACTTCTAGGAGGAAGAAAAATGCAAAATAGTCATTAAACTATCATCACTATATCATTTGGGCCCCTAAATTAATAATCTGTCATTTTAGTCCTTATTTTAAATAGAACATGTTTGATAACACTGAAATTGACTAAATTATTTTGAATCTGCTAATATTTATGAAGTTATGGTTTAAGGGGCCAAATTTAAAAAAAAAATATACTACGTATTAAAATATTGACTGAATCTGCTATATTATGGTAACATTATATTTAAAATATTTTGTACTATTAGATTAAAAAAAATTACTTACATATGACGAAAATAAATGTGGTTTACAAGAATATGACTAATGAGTATATGTAGTAGGGTTGAGCATGGGACGTACGGAATACTTATTTTGAAAAACTTGCCCCGTCCCAAAGTACGTTTATTTAAAAAATTAAAAATCAGGTATTGTCCTGATTATATGTAGAACCAATTTCGTTATGTACCAATTTTTCAGTATGATTGGATATGGTTCAATGCGATTCTTCACTACTATTCATTTCCAAAATAATTAACTTCCACGAAATAAAAAAATATTTTAAATTTTATCATTTATAAGTAATTAAGTCACAATACAAAAAATTAAGATACATGAGATTGTATTATACAATATATACCAAAGCTTTGACTCTTTGAGTAACCACAATGTAGATTATTGGATAATATAATAAATAATACTTCGTATAATATATGCGGAGTATATATTGAGGGTTAAGGTTAAGGCTTTGGGTTGAGGGTTAGGTTTAGGAGCTCGGGTCTGAGGATTCGGGTTTAGGAGTTCAGGATTAGGGGTCAGGGATGAGGGTTAGGATTTAGTTTTTGGGATTCGGGGTTTAGAATTGTCCTGAAGCTCGGCTGTAGTGCTGGACTCATCACCGACCTCGACGAGAGTCAACTTCGGCTGCAATTTCGGACTTACAACCCTTACTCTGAAATTAAGATTATTTGGTTCATTTAAAACCCTTACTCCATTTGATACATTGGATTCGTATATAACCCTAGTTGTGCTTCAACAAAGATTGCCTTAGTGGATACTGAACCAATAGGGTTAGTGGTTAACTGACTCGAAGCTTCCTGAACAATTGGTGTAGAACTTTGTCAGCAGCTTTCACTCCCAATGTCACGCCCCGGACCTAACCGGACACGTCAACAACCCGCCGTACAGTACGAATAGTCAACCGCAGCCCAACACATCCATACTATACAAGGCGTCTGGAATATCATTCACACATAGTACATCCATAAACAAACATAATGTAAAATATTCATTTAAAGCAGCGGAAACATTCAATACAAGTGTTCATGCCACACCTTGGCAAACATGGGCATACAAGCCCCCAAATAAATATTTAAAAGTAATATCCATGAGCATTAATTAAATAGTTTGTAAAAATGGAAACGGGGGAAGCACGAACCACGTCTCCTCCTTTTGTCACTCCCAGGTTAATAAGGCTACACTCTTGTCTCTATTACTCAATTGTGCACCTTGCATATTCACCCGGCCTGGTCTTATTCACTAACATCAGATATATGCATGAGTATTAAACCAAATTGGAATACAATAAACAGATTTTATTGAATTAGAAATCAACCAGATTTTAATGTAAACATATTTTACACTAAACAACAACATTACTGAATCTCTCACATAATAATTATTACTCCATCTGTAACACACATCATTGTCATCCCACCAATAATGAAATTTTACATGAAGATCAAACAAAATAATAATGCCCTAATGAAGTAAATAAGTGTGTTAAAAGCATCTAAAAGCCATATATGCAACTTTGAGCACAAAAAGGAAAAAAAAAATCATGATTAATTAACTTGGGGGACATGTGTTGGCAGCCAGATATGGTATTCAAGCACGCCTCCAGTGTGACGGAGGCAGCCAGAGATGGTATTCAAGCACGCCTCCAGTGTGACGGTGGCAGCCAGAGATGGCATTCAAGACACAATTTATACTCTTACCTCATAAATTAGATCATACTGTCATGGTAAACCTGGGAAAAATAATAATAATAATAATAATAATAATAATAATAATGGAATTACTAATGATTTTTCAACATCTTCAAATGTGAAGCATATATTTACATAGCACTACACATAACAGAACTTACCACGATGACCACTGGTTTTCATGATTTGGTCAAGTAATTCAACACATGACGAGTTATTATTATTCAACGGCTGAACTTCAGAATCTAACTGAAACAGTGTACTTTAACATTTAATGCATAAAACTTTTGGACATATTTAAAAGAAAATATATCAGAAGCACATTTACCACATGTGGGACTTGAGGTGGAGCATTATTAGAATAAGTAGGAGCTCTGTAAAAGTTAGGAACTTGCAAAGGACCTTGAGAAGTCATTACAGATGTGCCAATATTGACTTGTGGAACTCCAAAGTAAAACTAAAAACATTATTTTTTTTAAATTAGTACACAACACAAAAGAAAGAATGATAGTAGTATCTAAAACCAACAAACCTGCGGTGCTTGTGTAACCATAGCAGATTGAAAATTATGCGGATAAAAAGGGACATCAGCATAATTATAAAAGTGTGAAAATCCTTGACTTGATCTGACATGCCCTTTGTCTCTTGATGATTCCATTGGTGGAGGCATAGTCTGCATTTGGGACATAGCATTTTGACCTCCCGCTGATGAACAACCAATCATCTAAGAAATGACACGTGAAATGAAGAAACTTTGCATCATAAGGTATCCCATATAATTTATGTGATATAATTAGTATGCTTACCCCATCATTATGTGAATTTGAATTGCCTTTTGATGTTTTTTTCTTTAGATCATGGCTAGCGCTAGGTTTGCACATTAATCCCTGTAATAAAAAAAGTTACTATATCTATACATTATTCCATTATTATGATGAAATAAATTATGACTTTTTGAATGCAAAATACTAACACGATCAGATCTTGAGCTAGATTCTGAACCGTTTGAAGGAGATGATTCACTAGCATGCTTATCTTTTTCCTTCCTACATGTTCTTGCGTTGTGTTTTGTGCTCCCGCAAATTGAACAATGCCTCAACCTCTTAATACTGAGTTTTTTCTTTTTTGGAGCTCCTTTAGTCTTCACTATATTTGGGTCGCCTATGTGCTTAAGCGATGAACCACTTGCACCAATGGCATCGTCTGAATTCTTCATCTCCAACATCTCATATTTTTTAGTAAGCTGCATTATGTCATCCATTACTTCATTGTATAACTCACTCTTTTTTGCGGCAACCTTGCAAAACCTCATACACGCGCCATTATAGGCTGCAAAGCGAGTTGCCTCCATGGCATCAGAATCTAAGGAACCAGACGAATCAGACGACATTAAAGAAGATTTAGCATTTTTAGACCAACGCGTTAAAACTAAATGACGCGGAATATGGTCCAGATGCTCTTCTTTCATAGCACAAATAATATGTGAGCACGGCACTCCGCGAGACTCAAATCGCTTACATGCACAGGAAAATTCCACCTTTTCAGATTGATAGAGCACTTCAGTTTCGTAATTAGGATCACAATACTTCGTCAATCGGAATATGACTTGCTCTCCGTTTACTACTCGCTCTTTGACAATTAATGAACAGCCCTTTATAATT